GCCATGCGTAAGCTTGCGCTGAGCTGGGACTTCGGGGACGATTTCAGCGAAATGGTGAGAGCTTCACGAGCTACATCGAGGATGTGATCAGCCTCTGTAGGCGAGTTGATGCCAGGATGACGGAGGCTGACAGAATAAAGAACATAATGAAAGGCATTGATGACGACGCTTTTCATATGCTTGTGGCCAAATACCCACAGACCGTCACGGCCGTGATTCAGTTATGTCAAAGTTTCGATGAGCTGCGCAAGCAACGAGTTTCTACACGTCGCGCTAATACGCAGACAGCTGATATTTCGGCCTTGGAGTGCAAAAGCAGTGGCTCCGACTACAGCGTGTTAATGCCTCAAATTCAACAGTACATCCGGGAGGAAGTTGCTCGACAGCTCTCTCTTGTCGCCACCATCAACGAGACCCCCACATCGCTGGACCACTCACTTTGCCGTGCTATTCAGACGCAAGTTGCCGAGGCTCTCCCTTCGCCCACATCCCCAATATCAGTGGCTGCACCGCTGACTTATGCAGAAGCCGTCCGCCGACCTCCTGCCCAACCGCCGCTCCCTTCATACAGTCCAGCCACCAACTACTACAGGTCACCAGTTTCAGTTTATCCGGTAAATCGGCCCATTCCACCACCTCGAGCGCCTGTAAACTGTTGGCGTACTCCGGATAACCGGCCCGTCTGCTACAACTGTGGTATTCCAGGACATGTCGCGCGCTACTGTCGTTGCCGTGGATTCTATTTTAATGATGTGCAGCATTCCGGCAACATACCTCGGCCATCAGAATCGCATGTGACACCTGATTCACATGGCCCCCGCTCACGTCGACGAGACTTCAGCCGACGTCGATCTCCTTCACCCCGTCTTCGGTCTCCTTCCCCCATGCTTCGCCGTTCCAACCACGCCCAGGAGGAAAACTAACAGTCGCAGTTCCTGAGGCAAGAGCTGCGCCACCGACGAAATTTCCAAGGCCTCATCTATCACCCCCTAACGAGATTGCCGTGTTTGTGGACGGTTTCGCCACAACTGCTCTTGTCGACACAGGTGCCGCTATTTGTATAATCAGTGAAGTGTTATGCCGCAAACTGAACAAAGTGACGACTCCACTGGTTGAAATTTCTTTACGCACGGCGAGTTCGCAACACGTCCAACCTTCTGCCACATGCACTGCTCGTGTTGTGATTCAAGGAGTGCTTTACATCGTTGAATTTGTCGTCCTTCCGCATGCGTCTCATGAAATCATCCTGGGATGGAACTTTCTTTCCTCTAATCATGCGGTTGTCGACTGCGCTCGTGCTCAACTCGTTTTGTTTCCATTCAGCACGACATTCATAGATCTCCCTCGCTCACCCAAAAAGGTGATCGTTGCCGCTGACGTCATCATTTCTGCTTTTTTGGTCACCGCGGTATCTGTTTTGTGCAACTCCGTTTCCGATTCAACTGCCCTATTTATGCCGTCACAAGAATGCGATCGTCGCCGGAACCTTGTCGTCCCGTTTGCCGTCATAACACTTGCCGATGGCTCCAGTGCCGTGTACGTGTGCAATCCGTTCCCTTGTCCCGCAACCTTATTGCATGGCGAATGCATTGGGAGTCTTGACACTTATGATGACATCTTTCCTTTTGATGCCAGTTCTGATACGACACCGATGTCCGTGGATGCTGTCACAGCTGGCACCGCGCCCTCACTACCTGACGAAGACGTTCTGTTGCGCAGCGTAGACACCGGCCTTATGCAAGACCAGCGCAATCAGCTCAATCAACTACTTGACCGTTTCCGCGCCTCCTTCGACCACGGACAACCTCCCTTGGGACGCACGTCAGTTGTCGCTCACCATATCGACGCCGGTCATCATACTCCACTTCGTCAGCGCCCCTACCGCGTCTCGCAGGCCGAGCGTGACGTCATCACTCAACACGTCGACGAGATGCTGCAACGTGGTGTTATTCAGCACTCACACAGTCCTTGGGCTTCGCCAGTGGTCCTCGTGCGAAAAAAGGATGGCTCCATCAGGTTTTGCGTGGATTATCGTCGACTAAACAACATCCCACGCAAGGATGTTTATCCCCTGCCACGCATTGATGACGCCTTGGATTGCCTTCAAGGTGCGGAGTTTTTCTCTTCACTGGATCTGCGCTCTGGATATTGGCAAGTACCAATGGCTGAACCAGACCATCCAAAAACGGCGTTTGTGACCCCTGACGGCTTATATAAATTTAATGTAATGCCCTTCGGTCTTTGCAATGCGCCTGCGACTTTTGAAAGAATGATGGACAGTGTCCTCAGGGGACTTAAATGGCACATCTGTCTTTGCTATTTAGACGACATAGTTGTATTCTCGGTGAATTTTGAAACTCATCTTTCCCGTCTGGAACAAGTTCTCCAGTGCCTTACGGCAGCCGGGTTGCAACTTAACTTCAAGAAATGTCGTTTTGGCGCCCGCAAACTCACAATTCTCGGCCACGTCGTTTCAAAAGAAGGAATATCGCCAGATCCTGCCAAACTGCGTGCCGTTGCCGAGTACCCCAGGCCTACTACCCTAAAGGAGCTTCGTAGTTTCATAGGCTTGTTTTCCTATTTTCGGCGTTTCATTCGCAACTTTGCCTCTATAATTGCCCCTCTGACTCAGCTCCTCTCCCGTAGCGCGGACCTCTCAGGCTGGAATTCCCACTGCGATGAGGCATTCACGGCGCTACGCCAGCTACTCATCTCTCCGCCAGTTCTCCGCCACTTCGATCCCAATGCACCCACTGAAATTCACACGGATGCAAGCGGTGTCGGCCTCGGTGCCATTCTCGCTCAACGCAAGGATAGCTGCGACGAGTACGTTGTCGCCTATGCCAGCCGTACACTAACGAAGGCAAAGTCCAACTATTCCGTCACGGAAAAGGAGTGCTTGGCTATCATTCGGGCTATAGGAAAATTTCGCACCTACCTTTACGGACGCCAGTTTGATGTTGTCACAGATCACCATGCCTTATGCTGGTTAGCGTCCATGAAAGATCCTACTGGCCGCCTCGCTCGTTGGGCTTTACGCCTTCAGGAATACGATATCCGTGTTGTTTATCGCTCAGGACGCAGACATTCAGACGCCGATGCACTATCCCGTTCTCCACTGCCTCCTTACCTTGCCTGCTTATCAACTGCCATTTGCGATTCGTCATCGTTGAGCATCACTGACATGCCATCCGAACACCACAAGGATCCCTGGATCAATTCTTTGCTCGAAGTCCTCTCTCACAGTTCGTCAGAAACGACTTCACGTTCCCTCTCTCGTCAAGCAAGACACTTTGCTGTCCGTGAAGGCTTGTTGTATCGCCGCAATTACGTGACGGATGGCCGTAGGTGGCTCCTTGTCATCCCTCGTCATTTGCGTTGGGACATCTGCGCTGCCTTTCACGATGACCCCCAGTGTGGCCACGCCGTAGTATTTAAGACTTACTCTCGCCTTCGTCTAAGATACTACTGGCGCGGCATGTATCGGCACGTTCGCCAGTACGTTCGGTCATGCACCACGTGTCAACGACGCAAGACGCCTTCTCAGAGCACTGCTAGCCCTTTGCAACCCTTAACCTGCCCAGCGAGACCATTCGACCGCGTCGGAATTGATATTTATGGTCCTCTACCCAACTCTCTTCGAGGCAACCGGTGGATTATCGTCGCCGTGGATGATTTACCACGCTACGCTGAAACATCTGCGCTGCCTGCTACCACTGCGAAAGACGTTGCGTCCTTTCTTCTTCACCATCTCATTTTGCGACATGGTGCACCTCGTGAATTACTCAGTGACCGTGGACGCGTGTTTCTCTCGAACGCCGTCGACGAGCTACTCAAGGCATGTCGCACTGTCCATAGGAAATCCTCGGCATACCATCCCCAAACCAATGGCATGACAGAATGCTTTAACCATACCCTTGGAGATATGCTTGCCATGTACGCCTCTGACGACCACACTAATTGGGACCAAGTGCTCCCTTTTATCACGTACGCGTACAACTCTGCGCCACAAACAACCACTGGCTTTTCTTCTTTCTTCCTTCTGTACGGACGTGAGCCATCATGCTCCATGGACACCATTCTCCCTTACAGGTCTGATGTTTCCGAAGCGACGCCTGTTTCCGAAGCTGCTGCTTATGCCGAAGAGTGGCGTCAACTCGGTCGCTCATTTACCGCACAAGACCAATGGCGCCAGAAAACTGACCACGATTCCTCTGCGTCTACTGCACACTATAACCCAGGAATGCTGGTTTGGCTCTGGGTCCCGTCTACCCCTCCCGGTATTTCCCCGAAGCTTTCGTCGAAATACCATGGCCCCTACCGCGTGGTGCGGCAAACATCTCCTGTCAACTATGAAGTTGAGCCCATTGATCCACCCTCGGACCAACGCTGCCGTGGGCGTGAAACAGTACACGTATCACGCCTCAAACCGTGCTATGACCCCCTTGTCGTGTCCTTTCCCTAGGTCGCCAGGTTGGCTCCTTTCTGCGCGGGGAGTAATTGTACCGAAGCATAGTGGCGCCAGCTCTGTGCCAGCGTGAAAGAAGACGTTGACGTCCGTGTGTGGCTTGCTTGCCGGGTTCCTGCCTGTACCAGCTTGTTGCGGCTAACGTTTCTGGAATAATAACCTGTGTTTTTACGCAACCTTGCTCGTTGCAATATATATATATATATATATATATATATATATATATATATATATATATATATATATATATATATAATACCAGACATTTTCAAATGCCAAATTAGCTTATTTTCCACATTGTAGTACACTGCACACAATCTCGGAACCGACTGCCTTTGATGTGGTTCATTTGCCCGAATGACCCGTAAATGAAAGGGCAGGTAATTAACTTTTTGCAATCAAACAAGGGAACCTAATTAAGAACCACGTCCGAGATCATGCAGAAAGTACATATTAGCGCTCAGTCGCTGCCGTAACATAAACGGGGTCTCCGAGAGCATACTAATTTACCTCGTTAACTTTCTCATTTCAGTTCCCCTGGTGGACTCTGCGGTTGTGAGAGCGCTGACATCTAGTGCGCTGCAAATTACATGGACAACGGAGTGGAAATACCAAATACGCATCGTCGTGTGCCCGTTGGAAGGTCCGAAGAGACGCTGCAACGAGTACATCGTGGATGGTGACAAGTACGTGTTCACAATCACTGGACTCAATGCGAGTACGCTGTACGAGGTTGACACAACTGCACAGACGACTCGTTACGGAATGACCTGTGTGGGTCCAGTGTTCGAACAGGACGTGACTACGTTTTCTATGGGTGAGTAAGTCGCGCACTATTGGTGGTGTTAAGAAAGTTAGGAATTTTTTTTTCTTTTTGATTCCCTTACCGATTTCCGCAGAACTCAATTGTATTGGTGGAGTTTTACATGCCAAGAACGCGATGTGATTCTTGATCACGATAGGAATTTCGACCACCTGGTGCTCTATTGGCGTACGCTTAAATCTAAACAAATGGACATCCAAAATGTCGCCTCGATCAAGAGGTGGCTATAACGGCAGGTATTAGAATTGATGACTTATCGTGTCAGAAGAAAAATATCTTAACCAGCAGTCCACCGTGCTGGCTTGAAGCAAAAGTTACGTTCGCTTGACGTTACTGTTGTAAAGTGGGCCCGCGCCTCTCCTCCTGCAATTTTTTTTTTGCAATGACATAAAGAGCGAAAAATGATTATATCAAGATAATGCCCCATCCACACACCGAAAAAAAAAGAAATCTTTTGACGATGCCCCTGCAACCTTTCATAAAGAATCTGATGCAAAGCATGGGCCACCTCACAGGAGAAGGGAAAAAACAGAGGGAAGTACATGCTGCCCATACTCCCCAATTATTCAAGAAGACAAGTTTCTCGGATACCATTTCTCAGTCGTACCGAAAGTGAAACGATGCACGCAAGTTGTGGCAAAACGTGGCAGAACATTAGACAAAACTTGTATGCCACTGCTGCCTTTCTAGGAGACGTGCTGCAGAAAACTAGAGCACCTCGGCATATCTGGCAGACCCATCTTACGCATACCTTATCGCCGGCGGGTTCACACGGAGCGGCACTACTACCATTACTGCTCGTCTGGGGTGAAATCGGTGGCATCGTTGACTATGCAAGAGGCGCATGCCTCCGAAGATTTTATCACAAAATTTTCGGGCTTATGAAATGCATAAAGCTTTCGAAGCGTTCCCCGACGAACAGCGATGGAAGCGGCATGCTTTCTCTCGAGGCGTCAATAAGGCTAGTATCCTCAAATCGCGAAGAGTCGGCCCGATATGCCGACGCACTCACGCTGTCTGCAGCACGTCTTGCGATAGAGAGCGCTTGCATGCAGTTTCGTCCATTTCGGCCACAGCTCGCGTGCTCAGTTTCACTTTTGGAGCACCAGTACTATGAGCGTGAAAGAAAGCGCCAACAGCGGCGAAAATTCAGTGGTACGCTGCGCACTCTCCAGTCATCGCCATGGATAGCCAGCCGTGCATACGTGGAGTACTGCTAAAGCAGACGCGTTCAATTGTCTATTGTAATGACTAAACCTTTCCACACCCATGACAATATTCTAGCGACGTCACAGCTACGCCATACTTTTTGGTGACCAAGACATCACGAAGACGTCATATCACAATATCGTGAGGTCATTCTTTTAGCATCACTCATGTTGACGCCACATACGCCGACAGTGAATTTTTGTGTTTCATCAAGCAGAAAAGGCCCCCACTTTAAATAAAGGAACCTATAAGCTGGGCACGTCATCTATACAAACTGCAGTTGGCAGCACGGCTACTAAATATCCACCCGCTCAATCGTTTACAGACATAGGTCCTGTGCAAAACCTCAACCACACGGTGGTCAACGTAACGATAATCTCAGCCAGCTGGGACGAGCCTGCCAATGCTGAGAGGATTGACGGCTACACGATTACTTGCAAGAACAAAGCAAGCGGCCACTCAACGACTGCTGAATACCTTCGCTCTGCAAACATGAGTGTCCTTCTGGACGTGAAGCAACAGCTCGCCCACTTCAACTGCTCGGTCAATGCATTTGCAACGTGGGACAGTGGACGCCAGGAAGGACTGGCTACAATATTCGAAGAAGCCACTGATGGCATAGGTGTGTACTTTTATTCACCTATATTCTAGCTACATGTTCGTTAGGAGATTTTAGCGCTTTCTATGGCGCTGGCTACTCCCACGAAACAGAAACACAGAATACAGTCCAGGCACATATAGCACTTATAAGATGCAATCACACGAACATCATACACGCTGTAAAACTATACACATAGTCCATGACAGTACTAAAATGGACAATATTCAGTTACAAGGTAACGTGTAGTTTTGCGTATAGAGAGACACACTAAGCGCCAAGTAGTTCGAAGTAGAAATAAGAATGTCATATGAAATGTTAGTTTCACGTAATACTTATTCGCTTAGTACCTGTTTTTCAGAATTGATGCGTTACATCTGCTTATTTGTTCAGCTGGCTGTGGATGATTAGTTATAATAATTTTCAACGTATGTTTACACCAGGATGCCTGCGTTGGTTAGGAATAGAAGTAAATTTTGAGGTTTTAGGTGCCAATACCAAGATCCAAATACGAGAGACGCTGTCAAGGAGAGCTCCGGAAATTTTGACCTGCGTATACCTTCAGTGGATTGCACTTGTTAGCAGTAATAATTGTGTGAGGCAAGTCTTGTGATGAAAAATATATATTCTTTAGCGTATCTAGTAAATAAGCAGTGAATGTCTCGATGCTCTGTATTTTGTCATCCAGTGATCTAGACTCGTACGCCGGCATTGATCGTGGAAAAGGGTAACCACTATTCGCTGATGTGGCAGCTTCTTTGTATGACGTCCCTGCTTGTGACAATCAGCAGCAGCAAAAAATGTTATGCTCACTATGAAGATCCCAATTATCAGCCCAATCATGTGAACCCAGCTCTTTATGGGGTTATATAGGCTTTAATTTTCGGTAACAAAGTTCCAAAAACCAATACCTAATCTCGGTGTTCGTTCACTTTGGCATCGCCGACAGGTGGAGCCTGAAGAAAAAATGAACACCTGAATATACGATGGCGCGCTATCAATGATGATAGCGCTGTCTTCGTACTTGCATCATGAACCAACTGTTTATAGAGAACGTGCAGTTCCTTTCCGTTGATTAGTGATGGTGACACCACATGAATAATGAATGTGTTGCATCGGATCAATCGAGGCACTTGCCCGCACCCTCCTGTTATCACCTCTGCTGAGAGCAAGCAATAGTTTTCATTTGATGGATAAAATGTGAAAGTCATCTACGTTAGACTTTATTCCCCCCCCCCACCCCCTAAGAAACGAAATAATATTACACGACACGCAGTTCTCATTCTGCACTTGCAGCTAGTACGTGGAGTGCGATACGACAATTTCGCCATATAGAAACAGAGTGTTTGAGCGGCTTCCGATTTTGTGTGCTAGAGTAGCCTTGTAGTATTGGCGGGGAAAAAAAAAGCCTTAGTGAACAAGGCCACAACTTGACCACTTCTCTGCCTATGCATGGTCAAACATTTCGAATAACTATTCGTTTAAACTAAATACCCCTCTGAAAGAATGAATTATTATCCTTATGTGCCTTCTTCTCACATGAATGTAGAAAAAGAGTCTTTGCTTACTCTGGCACAATTGGAACGCGATTGTTGCTTTGGTGTCAGAGAGCGATCGCTGAAGTGACCTGAGATTTCTTGAGTGTGCAAGTGCTGCTGCTATCGAGATCTTTAAACCGACCGAAAATGAGATCTTACAATTTGGCTTCAATTGATCACTGTGCTACGTCCCCACTCTCATGTTGGGGCGAGGTGGCCACCCACGCCTAGGTGCATCGACACTGAAATACACCTTCTTTCGTCTTAAACTTTCATGTTGGTGCATCCTGTGCGAAGTGTTTTGATTCTACACTGAATGATTTGGCATGGCCGTACGACATAGCGTAAATAAAACAGTGCGAATAGACGGTGTGCCAGAAAAAAGAAAGATGCAAATAGCGCTATTTGCGTTTTTTTTCCTGCATCTCCCTCTTTTCGCGCAGTTTTTTTTTCTTTTCTTGTGTCATTCTTGATACCTTGCAAAGATCAGCTGAGTGAGTGAGGAAGTGAGGGAGTGAGTGATTCTAGTAAGTGAGTCTGTTAGTTGGTCAGTTGGCTGATGTGATCTGAAATGCAAAGATCAGTGCTGCTGCAGATCTGCTAGTGGAATTAGTCAATTGGAAAACTTGAACACCTTTAGGTAATTTTTCGCTTCCGGCTAAAGAAAGCCTGTAGGTGGTATCGCAATTTTAATAGGAAGTATGTAGACTTTGTGAGCAATAACAAAGGCGCCCGCAATAATATTGTTTCAACGTTTACCCCCTGAATATTTTCCAGATTACCCTTCATGCATAACATTGGAGTGATTCCGTAGAATATTTGCGGCAGAGATCGTTTGTTCCATGCATAAAAAATATTTAAAAAATGAATTTGAAGTTAAGCCTATATACAAGTCGCTGTATAAATGTTTTATTTTCTTTTCTTCTTCATCTTTTCCTTTTAATTTTGTCCACAGCTGCGCCACGTGAAGTCATCCTAACGAATTCCACGAAGGCAAGCCTTACATATTCGTGGCTGGCCGATCCTGGCGCAACCAAATTTCGGATTCATGTGAGAGCTGTGTGCAACGTGTGCAGTGCAGCGGGATATCACTGAGTTGCTCGACACAAAAGTAGAGGCAGTATTTGTCGAACATAAAATCCTAGACTTAAACCCAGGAACGCTGTACGATGTCTTCATTCAGAACTGCGCCGACTACTGCGGTTTGTCCACAGTTGTCCGGAACACAACAGACGTAGATGGTGAGTTTTGGTTAGTGCTATTGTATGTTCTTTCATATATCGCGAAAGTGTCATTATTAATGGCTTAAGCGTCTCATTGAAAGCGGCGAACGACCGTCGCTGTCAATACCAGTGCTGCAAAAAATTCACCACGTGATGACGTCCCTGAATGACGCCGTCACTACGCCACATTGTCATTTCATGGTGACGTCATCACACGACCTAGTTGATTGGTCGAATGTAGACCAATCCACAAAGCACTGCAAAACCACTTGCGGTTCGAAAAACCTCCAAAGCCTCTGATCCCCGAGGCTGTGCAAATTCAATTTTGGTGAAGCAAACAATCCCGGGCGGGAGGGGGGGTGTCAATACAATTAACTGAAGAGGAAAAGAAGGCTAGCGCCTTTACGTCATCCTATGCAAATGCACAAGTGGTCATGTCACTTTTACCGTTCTTGTTGAAAAGCGCACTAAAACTAAGCTATTATGGTGAAGCCCAGCAGGAAGCCTCTAACAGATCAACGCACACTTGAGTGGGCACTACAGTTCGTAATGACAGGGTAAGTAGTGATAAGTGCTGGCGTTCCCGCATCTTTATAGTTAAGGGGCAATAGAAAAATAACAATGGTTATTCGGAACACAAATTTTCAAAACATTTGGATACAGTGCCCCTTTACACCTATGATTTGTTGTTCATAACATTTTTGTTTCATTTCTAAACGTACACAGTGACAAGGGCGACAACATTTGCCTTGCCAACATTTTAGTGAGGAAGGAATTTTATTAGGAGATAAAGGTAAAAGAAGAAACAAAAAGTAAAAACGTACAACTTCAATGCAACACTTATGCAGGCATTAGGATCATAAAATATTCTCATGATGGGCAATTGGCAGAAAAGGTGAGTGATCGTGTACGACCAAGTTATTTACAAGTCAGGCTATGATGCTTCAAGACAAGCCAGCTTTTGTAATGAATAACATTCACAACAGCCACTGCAAATAATGAAGTGTACTTAGCTCATCATTATGTCATTGGTTCTGCTTGAAAATAAACGTGCAAACTCCTCTATTGAGCGTAAACACAAAGACGAAGAATAATTTATTCAAAGCTAACGTTTCGGGAATGTGCGGGAATGTTTACAGAATCAACTTTTTTTTATTGCAGCGCCTTCACCTGTGAGGGAGCTTCAATCAAATCTAAGAGGCTTCTCTGATGTTACCCTGACGTGGACACAGCCAAAGATGCCCAATGGACCAATAGACGGATACATTGTGAAACTATTGAACGAAGAGAAGAACAAAACTGATGTTCATACCATTGACGGCAAAAAGGAGAGGTTCAGTGTTCAACTATGCGACCATTTCACTTACTTCAAGGCACACGTATCCGCTTACAACATTGACCACGCTCATAATTTTACGTTGTTTGGCGTTGAAGAGCAAATAGACTTTGTTACTCTTGGGAACGGTAAGCCAACTTGTTCGAATACGAAATCTGTAGTGACAAGAGATAGCAATCCCTTCGACGAATGAGTGTTGTTATTAGTAGAAATCAAACTTATCTGACGGTGAAACCATAACCCGAAAAATATATGACTAGTGTACAACCATGTAGTTGCTACAACTACATTTGTTACCAATATTTCAATAAATTTCACAGACTCTATTAAACACCTGCTCCTCCAGAATACGGCTGGAGTTGAGCGAAACTGAACTCTCGTTATCTAAACAATGAGAATAGAGGGGGGGGGGGGGTATTGAGAGAAATATGATGCCGTAGTCCTTGTAAGAAAGTCAGCAGCCAAAGAACTCAGTTTTATATCTATTCGCTGCTATTTTCACAGTTTTAGATTATATTCATGATACAAAAATAACTGTAAGTATCATCAATGAATTTTTATCCCGGTTTTCATTGCGTGCATAGAGAGGGGAATGAGAGACAGAGTGCAGAAAAAGCTGGGACTTTGACTAGACTATGTTCAGTTTATTAACCTAGGCTTGAGTAGGCGAAGAGGGGGTTAAAACAGAGTGAAAGTTTTTACATAAATAAATAAAATATAGTGAGTTGCCGACGTATTGATTATGAGTGCAATACATTTGGATGAGTATGCAGTATCATGTAGCTTTAACTGGCACATTGGTTATTGAGCTGTCTCACTTCTGACCATCAGAAGAAAGGACGTGTTGTTTTGACATTTCGGTTCGCAATTTCATCTCGCAGTTCAACAATCGCGCTTAAATTGCTTTCGTTTGTTTCCACGCAGGTCCTTTTCCGCCCTTTCCTGAAGTTGAAACCACTGATGAACGTCAAGCGACGTTGTTCTGGAAATTCCCCAATGACCCGAGATACAATATCACTCACTTTTGCGTTTCCTTGAATGGAAGCATGTGTTCCTTCACTTCGGACAACCGCTACACTGCAGTCAAACTGCTACCATATCAGGCGTACGCCATCAATGTATCGTCATGCACCAGCACGATGTGTGGAGAGAAGCGTTCTGCCCATTTTTTCACGGACGTTGGGAGTAAGTGTGCTTGTCTACATAGGCTAGTGCAAAGTCGTGCAATACAACAAAGGCAGGAAACACTCTGATGACATACCAGAACGTTGAAATTCTTACGCTTTGAAAGTCAACAGTACAATATTTTACGGTTGCATTTCAGTTTCTACCTTACTCGGACAACAATGTTACCTTCACTCTTATATTAGATGCCGGATATAACGAACTAACTTATCGTCCCCACGCCACTTTGTTTAAGTGAGGTTCTATTGTAATATGTGAAGCATAGTGCTCCTGCTGGTCAATGATGCATTTGACTGCTTTCCACAGTTCCGTCACTTCCGAGAAGTTTAATCGTTCAGTCGTGGGGCACAACTTGGATTGATGTGAAGTGGCAACGTCCTAAAGCACCAAATGGTCCCGTAAGTGGGTACAACATCACATGGAGTGACGGTGATCGCACCATTACGGCCACAACAAACGAAACTGCGTTCAACATCACTCTACTGAAACCAGGCAGCCTCTACAGGATATCTGTACATGCTTTCAACGATGGCCGTCGGCGAAGGAAGCCTGGTCCCGCTTCAGTTATAAGTGTATCTACGGACCAACAACGTAAGTTTACAGCCTAGACAAAAATGAATGTTCTCTAGTGACTTCAATATTGTCGCTTATAGTAACAGTGGAAAGCGATTTCAGGCACAATATCGCCGCAAAGCCATAGAAACGGGCCAAGAAGTAAAGACGCCTAAATGTTTGAAAAAGATTAATTTATGCATCCTGCCACATATGTGTATATGTCAGTAAAATTATCGGGTGTGCCCGACTAAGTGACGATGGTGAAGTTTTGACCACTTGACCTACCTACATTAGGAACCGCGCAAACTTTACCATACTTGAATTTGCGTTCACAAGCCCCGTCATTATAAAGCCAGATGCCATGGGGAAGGTCTCCGTACATTTCGAGCTCCTGGAGTTCCTAAAAGAGCTCGCCTTGGTGGCTAGGGTGGTCGGCCGCTCGCCCGAAGATAACGGATTCGGTTCCGGTTGGCGATCGCATTTCGAAGATAGGCGAAATGGTAGAGGTCCTTGTACTGTGTGATGTCAGTCCACATTAAAGAGCACCAGGTGTTCTTTAACGCGCATATTCACAGCCATTTTTATCTTATTGCATATCAGCCTGGGGTAACACATATTTGACCCACCTCAATCAACTACAACGCCTACAGAATCAACCACTTCGACTCATGAATTTCAGTCATTTCTTAACCAATGCAACGCCACTTTATCCGATCTGAAATATACATCCTCTTTATCACCTCTTTCAGCTGAAGTTATGAGTTGTGACGTATAGGCTTTTTGGCGGTAATGTGCATATCATTGGCATTGCCGTTGAAAGTCTTTTAAAGAATAATAATACTAGGTTTTCAGAGCTTGATAACCGCCTTTCGTCTAAAGTTTGCAAAAACTACGGCAAGTTCACTACCACATTCACGGGAATCAGGATTTGGAATTCCCTTCCTTACGTATTAAAATTATTAACCCCAAAACATGCATTCAAAAACCAAGTAAAGATATATTTTTTGCAACAGTTGTCTTCATCTTAGCAACTGCTTTTCAATGTAGCGATAACATTTTGCTACATTTTATATTGTCCTTACGTTTTGTAATATAACTTACGCTTGTTTGTTCTTCAGAGTTTTTCTTTTTGCCTTGCTGAACATATATATGTATTTTCTACTTTCGTTTTTTACCACTGGGCTTTTTTTTCTTACTGAAGATACCGCAACAACTGAATGTTGTATATTTTGTTTCTTCTCCCGTTCACATCATGTATGGGAGCCCCCCTGACAGTTTCTAACTTTGGGGCTTCTTGTGTGTATTACTAATCCTGCACGTACTTTTCTGTAAACTGACATCGTTGTTGAATAAAACTTGAAACTTGAGCATGAACTTGGTCGAAATGTCCGGAGCCGTTCACTAGGCGTCGCTTATAATATTATTGTGCTTTTAGGACGTAACAAACAATATATTTATCTTGAAAGAGCTCCTAATCTAAGCACATGAACATCCAGTATTTAGCACATGAACATCCAGTAAGCACACGAACATCTAAGCACATTAACATCCAATATCCTCCATCGAAATGCGGTCACCGAAGCCTGAATTCAATCCTACGACCTCAATATCAGTAGTGAAGCACCACAGCAACAAAGCCCTCGTGGGGGCAAGACATTGACAACAACAAAAAAAAAAACGCAGAAGTGAAGTTCATGCACTTCGAAACAATAAATTCAGCGTTATCACGTGCCGAAACAGCAATGTAATACGAGGTACACCGCAGCTGGCGGCTGCGGAATAAATTTCATTACGTGATGTTCGTTAACTTGCACCAAGCCCTAAGTACACAGTTCCTTCAGATTACGCCCCCACGGTAAATGTGACACTTTCGTCGGACATACTAGCCAATCAAGCACTAGCCGTTATAGTTGCAGTGCTTTACCTGTAATGCAGGTACGGTAGGCCGCACGCTCGCATCTCGTTATCGTTTTGAGTAATATTTCTATTTCGTACCTAGAAGCTTCTCTAGTCGTGTATAAGCTGTCACGAAATTCAGCAGGGAGATTGAAATCAGCTAGAAAAC